CGATTATAAGTGGAGTATGTCATAATAATTTGGTTTGAAAATAAGCGTGTATGGTCATCTGAGTTTCCAGCGCACCACAACACCACCAGCAGCATGACGTAAACAAAAACCCTTTGGAACGTTACACAAGAAGCGCGAATATTTTTTTTTATTTTCGATGTCGCAGAATATTCGCAGAGCACACACAATTCGCAATGTTCGTAGGCCGTCGCGCCGCCTAGCGGAATTCAGGAGCGTCTTCTCATGGATGATCAGTAGGCAGACGCTCTTAATGCTGCCTTGTTCGGCGGTGTTAGCCGCAGTGTTAACGCGTTAACAAAAAACGAACACAACCCACTTTTTAGGTGTGAATACACTTTATAAGCGACCCCAAACCATCCACCGCCATCGGCGGCGTCCACAGTCTTCTCTCTATCTTTAAAAGAAAGAGGTCTTGGCGGGCCGCAGCGCGACGCTCTACCGAATAAGCCACGGACGCGACGCTGATATCGGTGTCAGTAACGCGTTTATATCTTTAACGCCGCTGCGCGCGTCCCCCTCCCCCTTCGCTCGCGCCTCCACTCTCCTCGCTCACTGCAGCTGCGCGCGCACCCCTCTCTCACGCGCCCGCCTTCTCTATCAGTCTCCCGTCGAGAGCGGGTCATGCGATGGATGTCCCGGAGGCAACGCTACCATCAACAACGAGTGCGAATTAATAAATACCCCTCATAGCATCACCCCGTGCATTCGCACTTAACCATTTTCACCCTCGGGGAAATGCTTGGGAGTTTTTTTAAGTGTGAATACACTTTATAATTGACCCCAAACCATCCACCGCTGTCGGCGGCGTCCGCAGTCTTCTCTCTATCTTTAAAAGAAAGAGGTCTTGGCGGGCCGCAGCGCGACGCTCTACCGAATAAGCCACGGACGCGACGCTGATATCGGTGTCAGTAACGCGTCTTATATCTTTAACGCCGCTGTGCGCGTCCCCCTCCCCTTTCGCTCGCTCCTCCACTCTCCTCGCTCGCTACAGCTGTGCGCGCCCCCCTCTCCCTCGCCCGCCCGCCTTCTCTCTCAGTCTCCCGTCGAGAGCGGGTCGTGCGATGAATGTCCCGGAGGCAACGCTACTATCAAAAACGTATGCAGTACAACCGATGGCCAGCACTGCACCCGTCGTTCGAGGTGACGGTACCGCGGTGGTTTCGCCGACGTTGGAAGACAAGGCGGCGCTGCGAAGGGCTCGTGAGACCGAACGTAAGCGAGCGAAGCGTGCAGCGGATGCCGAACTGCGTGCTCGCGAGGCCGAGTGCAAGCGGGCGAAGCGTGCAGCGAATGCCGAACTGCGCGCTCGCGAGGCCGAGGACAAGCGGGCGAGGCGTGCAGAGAATGCTGAAATTCGCGCTCGCGAGGCTGAAGACAAGCGGGCGAAGCGTGCAGCGGATGGTGAACTGCGCGCTTGTGGGTTCCACCGGGTTCCGCCGTTGAGCAAGAGCCACGGCTACGCGTACCCGCCTCGTCCCGCAGACCTCCCCGATCTGAACCCGGTGGAAGAGCGCCTCATCTCACCTCGACTCCCCTTCATGAGCATCAGGCGGCTCACGTGGGGCAACGGTCAGTACGGCATTAAGGGAGAGATCGTGAACGTGCCCATCGACGTTCTGAGCGTGGTGGAGTGTCTTCCGCGGCTGGTTCCCGAGGACATTGCGATAAAAGTGCACGTGAAGCGGAGGCTGGTGAGTCCGGCTACGTACAGGCGCGGACTGGTGAAGCGCGGTAACATCTTGGCGTGGTTGAAGCACCTGGAGCATGCGCCGTTGTATGTCGCTAGCGGCGTGCGCATCAACTGGAGTCGGCTGGGTGTCTTCGATGACGATGATGCGGCCGTTTGTGAAGGTGAACGCGTCCAGGGGGGAGACGACGCGGATGACAACGAGACTGGCCGCGAGAACATAGATTTGGACGACCCCGTGCAACTAGCGATTGCCCTCAATGCCATGTCAAAGACGATCTTCTTTAATGAGGAGGGTGAGCAACGACCACGCGCTTTCTTGATGAGAGATGATGGGGAGCGAAGCGGTGAACTGGACGATGCCGCTGCCGCTGATAAGCTGATCGATCAGTCGCATAGCCTGCACCTCGCTCCGGGTGAGAACCGCGCCCCACTGGCGCTCTTCATGGATGCGTATGCGGAAGAGCTCGCCTTCCCCACGATATACATGGGCGTGCCTCGCAAGATCATTGGTCCGCGTTCCACGCCATTCGCCATGGCCAGCAGCGAGATACGGCGCACCGACCGGCATGGAGCAACGCCAGAGCACGTCCTGTACATGGCCGCGAAGGTGATGCGGTACAACGTTGCGGAAAGCAACATGATGTTTCGCACCTACGAGACCACTGGTTCCATCACGCGTGAGCAGCTCGAGAGTGGCGGTAAGAAGTTCCTGGAGGAGGTGGTGGACCGCGACCTCGCAATCATGCGGGGCGTTCCAAATACGGTCCAATACTGGCAGGATCGCAGAAGTGAACTCTTTGCAATGATCCGCCAGTTGGGCAAGCCGCACGCGTTCCTGACCATGTCCGCGTCCGAGGTCCACTGGGAGCGCCTGCTCGAGACCCTGGAGCGGCTGCGTGTTGGGCCCGACAGCACGCCTCGGCCCGTGTCCGAGATGATGGCCTGGGAGCGCGTGGAGCTCGTGAACGAAGACCCCGTTGCCTGCGCGATGTACATCAACAGGATCTTCAACGTCATCATGAACGTGCTCGCCGACCGAAACTGCTCGCCGTTCTGCCCATACGTGATCCGGGATTACTTCAAGCGGGTGGAGTTCCAGCAGAGAGGAAGCGCGCACGTGCGCGTGATCCTGTGGCTTGAAGAGGCGCCCGACGAGGAGCTCAACGGTGAGGAAGGTGCCATGCCCAAGAACCTCGAGATGGTGGCCCAACTCCTCACGCTCGACACTACGCTCCTCAGGCGGCCGCGCACGCAGACGCATCAGCACACCCACACGTGCTACAAGCGCGGCCGCACCAAGCGCTGGTTCGGGGCGCCCTTCATGCCCAGTGATGAAACGAGGATCGTGGTGCTGTTTCCACCTGCGCCGGAGGGAGACGATGTGGAGGGTGAGCGGGAACGCCAGCGTTTCAAGGCCCTCCAAAATAAGTATGATGATATGCACGAGGGCCTCGAGTCCGGTGACTTTGAGGATCTCGCCTCGTTCCTACGCGCTTTCGGCCTGCACTCCGAGAAGGAGTATATGGATGTCTTGCGCGCTGGCCTTTCGCGACCCTGCGTCCTTCATCGAACGACCCCAGCGGAGACGTTTGTGAATGCATTCAACGCGTGGATAGGCTGGGTCTTGGATTCGAATATGAATATGCAGATAATACTCGATCACTACGCGTGCGCTTCCTACGTGGTGGACTATGTCAATAGAGAGTTTTAGTACTGCGGAATGGTGCTACGTACGCATCACGCAAGCGCCTTGCGTTACGTGGCGTCGTTTGCCACTAATCGGCTTTTAGTACGCCGTAGTACCCGCGTACGTAACGATCGTGAAGCGTGTTGCGTCATCTGGTATATCAAAATAGAAGCACGTGTTGTTGACAGCCAATGTGAGCCAATCCAAGTGTTATAGCCAGATTATGGCCATATTTTTAGCCACAGAGCCGGTCGGTTACGTACGCACGCAGCTGTTACGTACGCACGCATCTCATGCGTGCGTACGTAACAGCTGCGTACGTAACGCGATACGTGCGCGTTGTGGTCTGCGCATGCGCACTACGCAGAGCGTGGCGTCCTTAAGTACGCAACGCCGCCACGTTCGCAGCGTACGCAGTACTAAAACTCTCTAATAGAGAGTTTTAGTACTGCGGAATGGTGCTACGTACGCATCACTCAAGTGCCTTGCGTTGCGTGGCGTCGTTTGCCACTAATCGGCTTTTAGTACGCCGTAGTACCCGAGTACGTAACGAGCGTGAAGCGTGTTGCGCCATCTGGTAGATCAGAATAAAAGTACGTGTTGTTGACAGCCAATGTGAGCCAATCCAAGTGTTATAGCCAGATTACGGCCATATTTTAAGCCACAGAGCCGGTCGGTGCTTGCCTTCCATGCCACCATTTTGCAAAACGAAGTCTCGCGCTTTCGCGAACTTGTTCGAGAGCGACGTTATCAGCTCATTCGTACGCACGCACGCATTTCATGCGGGCGTACGTAGCGGCTGCGTACGTAACGCGATACGTGCGAGTTGCGGTCTGCGCATGCGCACTACGCAGAACGTGGCATTCTTACGTACGCAATGCCGCCACGTACGCAGTACTAAACCTCTTTAATAAGTCCGACCGCAGAATGTCCAACCTCAAACGCACCGTTGCCGAGATCCTCAAAACGAATCCCAATGACGACATCGAAGCCGTGATCCGCAAGCTTCGTGTGGACATCCTTAAAGGAATTGAAATGTCGGCACAGAAGGCGGCCTGATTTCTGCTCAAACAGGACATGTCACACAGGAGCCGGGAGGTGGTGTACGTCCCCACGTGCTACCCCGAAGAACGGGTGCGCGTACGGAAAACGCGTGCCGAGTTGGAGGCACTCCCTCCGGGCTCCACCGACGTCTGGAAAGCGAACCTCGTGCAAAAGTACGAGGCCAGGCTGCCGACCCTCTACGACGTATGGCTCGCCGACTTCGCCAGCAAGTACCGGCCGGCGAAGGGTGATTGCCGTTACGTGCTCAGGGTACGGCCGGCTGTCATAAGCTACCGCGGATACAACTCCGGTAACGATGTGGAGTTGTATATGCAGGAAAATGTCCTTCTATACGTCCCGTTCCCAAGCGAAACGGTTGATGTCTTGGATGGTAGTAGGTATGTGCCCATCTATGAGAACAACAAGCAGTTGATCGAGGTAAAACGAAAAGAATACAACCCGGCGAATGACGATGCACTGGTCCAAGAAATGGTGGAGGTCCACTACGCCGAGATGCTGCGGCTCAGGTGAGAGAGAGAGGAGGATAAAGAAAGAACAATGCAAGAAGAAGAAGAATGTGATGAAGATAACGGGTGCGCGCGGGTACAAATCTCCGAACGACGAGGTGCGGATGCTAGTGTGTACGCGGACGTGCTGCCTAACGAGCGCCTGCTCCGACTGCTCAAGGAGGTCAGTACGCTGAGTGCTGCGGTACGCAAACGGCGCGGAATCATGGAACGAGAAGAGTACGTCTTGATAATGCGCAGCACCAACCCCGAGCAGTACGAGTTGCTGCGCGAGATTCTGCACCGTCAGACCACGCAGGGGCAGCCTCCACTGCGGGTCTTCTTCACGGGACCCACGGGTTGTGGCAAAACCTTCGTGCTCAAGCTCGCCATGGACGTGTATAACCGCTGTGCGGACTGCTGCGGTGCCGTTGGCTGGGAAGAGGGCTGCTCCTCATCCGTCCCTTCCGTCTACAACGCGTACGTGGTCTGCGCCAGTACGGGAAAGGCCGCCGTTGCTGTGGTTGGAACCACCGTCCACAGTGCCTTCAAACTCGTGCGCGCTGCCCGTGGAAACCGACAGGACGTCCGCCTCGGAGTCTGGGGGGACGGTGGACTCCGACCTAGTGACCTGAACACCTTCCGGTGTGCCTTCCGCAGAGTCAAGTGCGTCATCATAGACGAAGTCAGTATGATGTCTGCCGACCAACTCAAACTGGTTGATTGCCGTGTGCGCCAGATCAAGCAGCGACTCACCGAACCCTTCGGTGGACTGGAAATCATCCTCTGCGGGAACCCACGGCAGTTGCCGCCCGTGTGTGCCAGCGAGATCTTCAAGCGGCCCCGCAGTGCTGATGGTCTCCTCGGATTCAGCACTGTCACCTGGCATCATCTCGAATACTTCCCGCTCGTGAGAGTTGTGCGACAGTTAGACGTCACCTTCTCCTTGGTCCTCACCAAGATCGGGGACGGCCGCGCGCTCGAGCCCGAAGAAGTAAAGCTTCTCGAAACCAGGTTCGTTACGGTCGAGGAAGCCGCCGAGCGCGCGCCCTCGGCCGTGCGCATCTTCTACTCGAACGCCGATGTCACGCGTTTCAACGAGACCGTGGCCCGTTCGCAGGACGACTTCGTGGTGCTTCGCGCGCGTGATCGGTACCTCGGCTGCAAGACGCCGCATCTGCTCGAGAATGCCAAGCGCAGGGTTGCCCGCAAGGTTCCCAGCGAGTTTGCAAATCTGCCCGTGGAAGTCATGGCCGTGGTTGGCAAGCCCTACCTGATGACTCATAACATCGATCTCGTGGATGGTCTGGTCAACGGTGCGGTTGGAGTCTTGCACCTGTGTGAGCCCACCGGCCCGTTGCCCGATGATGGAGATGGAGTGGATGAAGAAGGAGAAGGAGACGGGAATGAAGAGACGCGCTTGAGGCGACTGTTTCTCGAGTTCGATGTGCCCGGTACCAGAAAGCTCACACGTGCGCGTGCCGCTCAGGCCGTTCACGAGGCCCGTTCCAACGGCTACGACGGTAATCATTCGCTACCCCGACCTTAGGACTGCTGGGGTGTTCTTGGCTGAGGATTGAGTGGTTTTAACTTTCTTTCTTAGAGTCCGATTCTATAGTTTATCTGTTTCTGAGTCTAACCATATCTCTAGTGCTCTTGTCAACTACTTCTCCTGGCCAGGCGCAATCCGCCTGGTCAGCGTCCCTGCCGTCTAATGAATTACCGCTAGACTCTTTTTTCCGCAGTGGTATCGACAGCATTCCCGTAGCACTGGTACCTACAAATGGAGGCTTCATCAGACTTACAAACCCTTGGTTGGTTCAAAAGGAACTTAGGACAACTTCAAACTATTTCCAGACCATCACATATGTGCGCCCATTTGGGCGAGGAGGTATCGTGTGTAGGTCGCCGGATCAGACCTGCGTGCAGAATCTTCTCAAATGCACCTCCTTTGCTGCTACCCCGGTGAGTGCTTTTACTCCGCCTCACCTTGCATGTACCAAAGGTCTTGTACGGGGAGCCGACTCCAGGCTGAGTCCAGCTGAGACCCTGGACAGGCTCTCTGGAGCAGGCGTAATTTCAATTTACCGGTGTAATCGCCTAGTCGACAACCAGAGGGTACCAACCGAATCTGTTATCGCGACATTTGTGGGCACAAAATGCCCGTCAAAAATAAAATTATCGCCACTGATCTTCCGAGTAGAACCCCTCGCTTCTCGTCCGATTCAGTGCAAGAACTGCTGGAGATTCGGCCACAATGCGGGAGGATGTAAGTCTAACGTTCATTGTAGCACCTTCTGAGAGAGCCATCCTTCAAGCAATTGTACTGCAACAGTGGAAAAGTGTTGTCTCTGTGGGGGCAGTCACTGCGCCGACAACTCTGACTGTACCGCTCGTTCCCGGGAGGTTCAAATCCTAGAAGTTATTGACCGCCGCCGCTGTTCTCGAAGGGAAGCCATTGACATAGTTAGAGACAGGGCTTTTGGATACTCTGGTATTACAGCACGCTGAACTTCCAGTATGGACTCAAACCTATCGCAGGCTATTGAAACTGCTGTGAAAAAGGCAGTGAGTAAGGCAATGGATAAACTCATATCTTACCTTTCCGACTGTTTAGTGCAAATTCTTTCAAGTCAGATTGGACAAACAGTACAGACTAGAACAGAACCTGCAGTATTACACATTACCAGCGACGCTACACAGCTACGCAATGTAGTGATGGACGAACTTTCTGCATCTGCAGGCAAGGCTAAGCAGCCAGGAACACAGGTGCACTTGGACCAACATTCGCCTCGGCCGAGCACAAGTACTGATACAGATATGGAACTCGATATACGAACTAATAAACGTACCAGATCCCCTATCTTCACCGATCTCAAGTCCAAATCTAAACGGAATGAATCGGCTATTTCGCGTGAAGATGCTAACAAGGGCGCGACATGCGCCTCTGCGGTGCGCTCAACACCATAGGTCAGTTGAGGGTACTACAGTGGAACTGCCGTTCTATAATCTCAGCTTCAACCGACTTACATTACTTTTGCAATAATTTTAATCTTGATATTATAATTCTCCGAGAAACTTGGCTTACACCTGATAAAAACTTCCGTCTTGCAGGTTTTCGTTCTTTTCGGTTAGATCGCCCATCACGTGGTGGTGGTTTAATGATCCTTGTATCAAGTAAATTATGCCATAGGGCGAAAATTTCTTTCAGAATGTTACACTTGGATTGTGAATTATTAGCATTAGACTTGTGTCTCCCCGGATACCACCCTTTTTTATTTGTAAATTGTTACTTCCCCTCCAGTGTGCAAAGCACACGTTATCTTGACAGCGTTTTGGTAGCATGTAGAAAGGAAATTGTACTCACAGGAGACTTTAATTCACACCATTTGTCTTGGGGTATAAGGACAGATTATTGTGGTAGGCGACTGCGGGAATGAACTATTGATCACAACCTCTCCTGTCTGAATAAAGGTTATGTAACATTTGTCCGAGGTCAAACTAGCTCAGTATTGAATTTAACGTTTTGCTCCAATACAATCAAAATTTTGTCATGGACTGTTCTGGATTCGGCAACTAACAGTGACCATCTTCCTGTAGTTTTTGACATTACTTGTCCAACAATAACTTTAGATCAGCCAAAACGCACATACATCAACCATAGTAATATTCAAGCCTGCCTCCGTTCTGCCATTTCCAAGCTTGGAAATGCCAGTACTAAGGAGATTGCATCTACGATTGGTTCAATGCTGGAGGGATCTAGAAAAAATTCCGAATTTTCTATTCCATCCAATAAACGATTCTCCTCGCGTTGGTGGAACGATGAGTGTACGCGCGATTATAGAAGACGAAAAGCCACTTGGAAAAAACTTCTTAATCAGAGCCCAACAAACTGGAAAGACTATCAATTCCTTGCTGGCGTATTTAAGCGTACAGTGAACCGCGCGAAAGAAGAATACGACAGTAGACATTTTGATTATCTTTCTAAATCAAAAAATAAGCGTGCTCTGTTCGCTTATTTTCGGACAAGAAAAGTACTACCAGCACCTTTAACGTTGCAGTCATGTGTCTTGACGCCGGTAGAAATGAACACCTCTCTAGAAGACATAGCGCATGGTTTAGAACGCCGCTTCACTGCGAATTTTTCGGCTATTCAGTCCGTTCTGGTAAACTTGCATGAATTTCCAGAAGTTCCCTTAGCTAAATTGAATCAGACAGTACTATGCTTACCGAGGACGGCTCCCGGACCAGATGGGATTACGAACTCTATGTTGAAATGTTTACTCCAGGAATCGCCTAATCTTTTGCTAGAACTAGTAAATTATTCTTTAGGGAATGCATGGATACCTCCAGAATGGAAACTTGCCAAAATTGTATTGTTGCTAAAAAATAAAAATGATGCATACACGTTGGATACCATAAGGCCGATCGCACTGACATCAAACTTAGTGAAATTAGTTGAGAGAATCATCAATATACGAATTAATGAACTTATTACCGTGAGGTCAATTCTAAGTCCCTGTCAAATTGGGTTCACGGCTGGTTGTTCAATTTGGGATGCCCACGTTAACTTAGAAAGTAGGCTTAAATTAGCTCGGCTACATAAAAAATATGCTGCTTTAGTTACCTTAGACATCGCTAAAGCATATGATACCATGGAGCACTGTATTTTGATAGATCGATTACAATCCCTTGATTTTTTATCATACATAGTAGCATGGGTTCACAATTTTCTCGCAGACAGGAAATTTTATTGTTTTAAAGATGGGTTTTCATCATCTACTCATACCCAAAAAAGGGGAGTGCCGCAAGGCTCGGTGCTTTGCCCGGTGCTATTTAATTTACTAATGAGCACCATTCCACGTAAACAGGATATAACAACGTATGTTTATGCAGACGATATCGCATTTTTTGCAATGGCAGATAACATTCAGACCTTATATGAACGGCTGCAGACTTACCTTAATATATTGGAGAGCTGGCTCGATGGCAACAGCTTTTTATTTAATCCGAGTAATTGTGCCCTCCTTGTTTTCCCGCTGCAATACCCTGTGAACATCTCTCTGTCTTACCATCATGAGGATATACCACAGGTGGAATCTGTTAAATACCTTGGAGTAATTTATCACACATCGCTTAACTGGCGACCTCATATCGAATATATCACCGGAAAAGGTGTGCGGGCCATTGGCATATTACGTAGGCTAAGCAACTACCGCGTAGGTATGAGAAGAGACACATTAATAATGATATATCGCATGTATGTTCGTCCCATTTCGGAATTTGGTTGTGTACTTTTCTCTGGAGTTCTAGCTTACACGTTGCGGCCTCTAGTTCTTCTGGAAAGAGAAGCTTTGCGCTTATGCCTTGGCCTTCCCAAAACAGTTGCCAACAATGTGTTGTATCTCGAATCGAGGGTCCCTCCACTTTCTTGTAAAATTAGCCTTCTGACTGTTCAGACATTCTTAAGAATTTATGAATCAGCATTACGACATTCAGAAACAGCCTTTATTTCCACCCCGGAATCATTTTTTGCTGCTAGATGGCCGCGATTTCACACGCCACAAATTATATTTGTGCAAAATTTACTGGAGCCACTAAACGTACGTATATGCGACATCATGCCGAGTCGTTATAATTCAGCCTCGGTGGAAATTCAATTTGAGGACATTTTTTCGCATAATGCCAAATTACTTCCCCATAATATTTTGGATGGTTTACTACAAGATCACCTGCGCCGTATTACAACGAACGTTATTATTGCTACAGACGCATCGCAATACGACGAAAAGTCAGGGGTTGGTATTTTCAGCCCGATTTTAAATTGGATTTATTCCCTTCGACTACCCGATTTCATACCCGTTTTTGTGGCTGAGTTTTTGGCAGTAGTGCTCGCCTTACGCAAATTAGATACAGCAATTCCATCAGCTATCATAATAACAGATTCCCTATCTCTCTGTGCAGCACTTTCTTTTGGTGTTGATAATCACGTAACAAGGACGTTCCGTGCACTAGTACCTGTGCATTTGAGAAAAGTATGATTAGTTTGGGTGCCTGGACATAAAGGTTTGTTTCTGAATGAAAGAGCCGATTCCTTAGCTAAGTCGTCAATCAGCGAACCAATTCTACCGCTCTGTCCATCATCCGCTTATGTGACTGCTGCTCAATTTCGCAGACGAACGCTTATGCAAGTCTTTAAAGGTTCAGCACTAACAAACTTTACAGAATATCGCCATTTATTATATCCCTGGCGAAGAGACTTTCGCCGCACTCGAAAACAAGAAGTAGCTATCACAAGGCTGTGTTGCCGGGTACCAAATCTAATTTTCTATAAACACAGGTCCGCTCAGGCACCTTCGCCACTGTGCGCATTCTGTGATGAACTGGAAACAATAGACCACTTCTTTTTGACCTGCAGGCGGTTTAACACATTACGAAATACCCTATTAGATATACCTTTGCGTGGCATTGGTATGGAATTATCTCTGCCTGTCATTTTGTCTTTTGGAGCTTCTATTTCTGGTTTCTCTAATAAAACAGTATGCGCAG